ATCAATGTCATGCTCATACTGTGCCGGAACAACATAGGGAGAACTGCCGCTTTTTCTTTCCCCATCTTTACTATCGTCATTTTTCCTCTACTTCTTTTGTATGTTTGTCACACTCTTGTCAACTGCCATTTCCGGGGTGCCTTGGCAGTTCAAGCAGACTTTGTGCTATTGAGGCTAGAGAGGTGAGCAGAGCAAGCCTGATTCCCCGTTTGGACTTCTCTGTTGACATCCACCCCTTGGCGCTCATGACATTATGCAGTTGCGAGCGCTGTAAAACCTTACTACATATAAAACAAAATATCCCCCAACTGATTGTTTTTATGTCTGCCATTGTTTTCTTTGGCTTCACATCTCTATTTGCAAGAATTATTCAGCACTAATACCATCACCAGACCTCGCTAAGCACTTCTGCAGCTCAAACCCGGTGGGTTTTCACCACACCAGAGTTTCGTGTGTGAAGAAATGAGGGGTCAGCAAACAACCTTGGTCTTGCAAATGTATCAAACCGTTGCTCAATGCTGCTTACAATGAAGCAATTGTATCCACATTTAAGTAGTGCATTATTCAACAAAATACTTCATCAGTGGGTCAGAAGCTAGTGCTGGTATAGAGTCGCTTGAGGGAACAAGGAGGTTATAAGCTTACAGTGATCCTTGTAAGGGACTCTTCCACAAAAAGACCCATCTTGCTGCTCTCAAGGCACGCTTATTCCGCCCACTGAACATACTTTTCAGCAGCGTTTTGGGAGGCTTTCAAGTCATCACCTGGGATATTTGCATATTCGATAGTGACTCCTTCACGTTTCGCACAGTCAAGATATCCAGTTGCACAGTTTTTGGAAAGCGCTGTAGAGCTGGATAATAATTATTAATTGCATATTATATTAACCATTGTGTGGTGAGAATAGTCTAACACATTTGGAAACTGTCAATGTGTCCTTTCGCCTTAGCTTAAAAATGTCTGCTTTGGTTGTCAGCAACATGTATGGTGTTTAGGATGGTTATATAGCGTCTACGACAAGAGCCACGACTGGAGTGCTAAATGAATCAAAAATCTTCAAGGCATCATATGACCACCATTCATCTAGTTTCTTGGATAGCGTAATTGTTCCCAATCCTTTACCGTTTCATAGTTGTGCAGTTTATACTCTAGATGTTCATACGTTGCTAAAATTCCTGCAAGAATACTACAAGGTCATTCATCAATGAGAATAACGATGTTGAGGGACTAGGGTGTAGTTGCCTCTTCATAAGTACCCCTGTAGCCAAGACCTTTCATTACCAATGAGTTTGACGACATTCACAACGAGTTCTAAGCTTATACATGTACTCAACCACTGTGATCTCTTTCTGACCTCTTTATGACGCCTTTGTGCTAACGTGTGAGAAATGGTGGACTGTTATTGGTTAACTTGAGAAATTGACATGTTAGTGTGTGCAAGTTGAAAGTTGCACACTCACACGTTAGAGATCGCTTTGTGCTCTTAAAATCGAAAAGAGTAGGCTTCGGCCGCCACTCTTTCTGACCTCTTTATGACGCCTTTGTGCTAAC